AATCACAGAACAACCTTTATCCCGAGGAGGAAAGGGGTAAAGCTTTACAGTGTATCCTGTAAGGCGCTTTAAGACGTCTCGAAGATATGATAAGGCACCATATCGAATGCAAGGATTATTATTAAACTGCCCGCTGACCCTGGTCCCAACGTGGATGTCGTTTGTTATGTGTTAAACATTAAGATGAACAAAGATCTCTCTCGATCCTGTTTGTCACACTTGTCAGCCCTATATTTATTATTACAGGGTAGTGCAGTAGTTAGAGCGCTCGCTTTGCAAGCGAGAGTCCTGGGTTCAATTCCCGACAGAGGGCGAAACCTTACTCCACCCGCCTGATAATAATCTCTCAAGAAAAAATAATAATAAAATTGGGCACTTCAATCCACGACTGTTTGTGGGACGCTGCTGTGCGCAATTGACTGCTGCGTTTCGCCTACAAATATACAGTCAATTCACTTTACAGTATATTCTGTGAAGCGCTTTGAGACGTCTTGAAGACGTGATAAGGCGCTGTATGAAATGCAAGGATTATTATTATCATTATTTTAGCTCCGATTTCCAAGTCTTTTCTCATATCCTTGCATTTTTTGATGTAACGAGAAGATTTTAATTCCTGTGATCTCATGCACGATATCTGTGGATAGGTGCTTGTTGTGTGGATAAGGTGACTTTGAGTTTGAACACCAATGAGGCAGCGAATGTTGAAAATTCACAGCAGCCGTTGAGCATTAAGAATCTCCTGGCCTCAACCACTTTTCCTGTTAATTAATTACCTTCTGTGTAAAGCGGTATTCCCTGGTGTCTCTCCTGCAATTGTCCTTCACGTCCCTGTGTTTTTTTTTGCTTAGCCGGGGTGTCCAACACATGCAAAAATCTCTGTGGCTAAGAGGATCCAAACCAAACGGTGAATTCCCGGGTATTGGAATCGAATGTTTACCTATTTCCAGAGACTATTAGGCTCAAGTGGGCAAGTGCCAAGGCTTGGGGACACCAGATCGTGCCTCTTAATAGCATTCACACTGGTAGCCCTTGCATCGAGCAGCGTGAGCATCATCTCTGGGTCAGATCTGAGCGCCACTGATTGTGGAGTCCTTTAGCTTAGTGGTTAGAGCACTTGCCTTGCAAGCGATAGGACCTGGGGTTAATTACTAGATAGGGCAAAACTTTGGTCAAGTTTCCTTACTCCACACGCTTCTGTTTACCTAGGAGTAAGTAGGAATCCAGTTATTAATCGATTGGCTGATCGCTTTTCCGGGGTAATAATTCCTTCAAAACAAAAATAACTTTAAAGAAGTAGTGGTGATTTGGTCACGCAATCCACGACTGTTTGTGGGACACTGCTGTGCACAATTGGCTGCCGCGTTTCGCCCATAAAATACACAGAGGCAGAGGCTGAGATGAAGAGCTTCCCTCGAGGATAGACAATAAATGTAGACCTGTATTTTGATCCAAGCCAATTCCTATCCTCGTTGGCCTTTATGACTGGCCTCCCCACTCCGGGGGCATGGGGAAGGACAGACCTCAAAAGCAAGAAATTATCTCGACAAACTGTGTTTACTGCCCATAACCATGGAGGGAAAAATCTAATTTGTTAGAAAAAAAGATGACCGTTATTCAGTGAGTTCTTAGCCACCATTCCCTGTCACGCTCTCCCAAGCTCCACAAATGTTCTAAATGGAGCTCTCCTTCCAACAGTGCCTTCAGCTATCTCCAGGTTGCCCTCATGCCTCGCTCAGTGGCCCTTCTTCCCGTTGTCAAGTGCTTTTTAAACGTTACTTTCACTGAAATGCCCTGAATGAACCCAGGCTTATCTGTGCCGTGCAGTTTGCATGTTTAAGATCGTCTTTGTGTATTACGTGAGAGAAAAATAGCTTAAAATTCTGATGGGTCGGAACTAGAGTAGAATATTGAGCCTTGTGCAGTCTCCCTTCCCCCTCCTTCCCTGTTTCTCTTGGTCAGTTCTGGCTCCCTCCTTTCTCTCTGAGCTTCTGTTCTCTGTTACAGCGAAGGCATTCATACCCTTGTTGCTCACAGCCATTTTGTCTTGCTGGGACACGGACAGAGCCGGCCAGTTGCCGGGCAACCACTCTTCCAACTCAGTGCTCCCTCCAGTTGCTGATGACTGCTGGCAGCGAGGAATGGTGTCCCCCAGACAGCCATTCACAGCTCCGCCTGATTTATTATGGTGCTTTACCCAGCGCCACAATCCAGCCGCTGGTTCAGGTTAAATCAGACAGTCTGAGGAGGCAGACCTGCTGCCTGAGGTGGAACAAAACAGTGCAGTCTACACCGTACATAGATCCCAGCTGCCACCGGTGAAACTCTTAGCCATTTCACCAGGTACATCCTGCACTTTCAGCGCAGTGCACTGTGGACAGGGCTCCTGTTAGCCCTACAGTCAAAGCCCTGACTAACGACTAGGGTGGGCCTCGTTGGAGAAGCGACAACAACAACAACAACACAATGACGTGTGTACAGCGCCTTTCTCGTTGGGAGGACGTCCCAAGGCCCTGGACAGACAGTTACGGACCCGAGCTGTGTGTCGGAGTGGGGGAGGGTGGAGGATAGGGGGGAAGCAGGGAGATCGAAAGTATGGTTGAAGAGGAGGGTCTTGAGGTGGGTCTTGAAGGTGGCGAGGGAGGGGGCGAGACGGAGAGACTGCGGGATGGAGTTCCAGAAGGTGGGGGCAGAGTGGCGGAAGGTCCACCCGCTGACAGTGGGGCAAGCAAGGTGGGGGAGTGAAGCAGGCCGGAGCCCGCTGAGCGGGGGGAGCGGGCAGGGTGGTAGGGGGTTAGGAGGTCACAGAGGTAGTGGGGAACGAGACCGTGGAGGGCTTTGAAGGTGAGGACCAGGATCTTGAACTGTATCCTCTGTGTGATGGGAAGCCGGTGGAGTCGGGTGAGGATGGGGGTGATAGGGTCACGGAGCCTGGGGGGGGAGAGGACACGGGCTGCAGAGTTCTGGATGATCCGCAGCCTGTGGAGGGAGGAGTTGGGGAGGCCAACAAGCAGTGAGTTTGCATAGCAGCAGGAAAGCTTGCCAGACAGCGCTCTCAATGGCAAGCTATGCGGGTTTAGGTGGTTAGACTTCAGCAGTTATCCCAACACAGACTCTGGGGTCCCCCAAGCCTTGGTTCTTGCCAACCTGTGCCTAATACTTTCCAGAATTACGTAAGCAGGGTACACCCCTCCAGGGAGAGAGAGCACATTCCATTCCAACAATCTATCTCTGGGATTTCCATGTGTAGGTGGGATTTATGGAAGTCTCAGATCAGTTTGGAGACTCTTAAGCAACGGTGATGGGTTTCCGCACGTGTCAGACACCCGGCTGAGCAAACAAAAAGATTCAGGGCAGTGCCTTCAGCGCACAAAGAATCAATGTGCGGCCAGACTGTTGGTGGGCAAACTGTGTCTGATGGAAGGCAAGTTAAAGTGGGTGTATTGGAGAATGTTTAAACCATTCGTACGCTCAACACCTGGCCTGATGTACTGGCTCTTTTCCCTCTCAGCTCACTGCTGTCTTATAATGCACACCAGGTCGATTTCCTTTATAGAATTCACTATATGTAAAGTTGGGTGCAGAGCTTCTCCTCACACTGCGGTGACTCTGGGTTTCAGAGGGTATCCAGAACCTTTATGTGGTTACATCTAGCTCCTTCTCTCCCCTCCCCATCAGCTCGGTGTAGAGCTACACCACTGTTAAACTCTCCAAAAGTCTATCCTGTGTGAAGGCCACTATATAAATGCAGGTGTGGTAGTTCTCAGCAAAAGAGCAATTTCAGGACAGAGTAACTCCTGAATGGGATGAGTTGATCAGGAAGAAGTTGATCAGAAACAGAGTCAAGGATTACTTCTTTGTCCATGCTTTTGGTCATCTTTCACCTCCTCCTCCCCCCTCCTCCTCCACTACAACCTCTTCACCTTCCCCCTAACCCTCCTCGGCTCGCGGGCCAGACAGCTGTGTAAAGCGCTTTGAGACGTCCTCCTGATATGACAGACACAATATGTAAGCTGTATTGTATTGTGATGGAGTCACAAATGAAAACCTCATGAAAATAATAATAATAGTCCTTGCATTTGATATAGCGCTTTATCACGTTGTCAAAACGCTTCACAGAATATTCTGTAAATTGAATTGACTGTATATTTTGTGGGCGAAACGGGGCAGCCAATTGTGCACAGTGATTCTTATGAGAGAATGGAGTCCAAAACAGTGGGTTAATGGCTCTTTCAACACTGGTTCCGGCCCCATTGACGTCACTGGGTGTGTTTGGATAGAGTTGTGTGATTGACATGTTGTATATTAGTGATAGGCAAACCCAGTCAGGGATTGCGGTGTTGAGGACTCTAGTTCTAGAGAATGTAGACCTTCTGTCCACAGCACAGGATGTTAATGGTGGTCTAGAGGCGTCTCCATGCTTGGCCAAGCCTCCAGGGTGCAGCAGAGCGGTGTGGACACTGAAAGGCAACAGAATTCACTGACAAAATTGGGGAGAGGGGGAAGGAATTCCCAGACGCACACGGTTTATCTGAAGCATGTGGTGTGTAGAAGATTGTCCCTTGCGTGTTCCTGTGCCCTGTGTTCCTACCTTCCCCCTCCCCTGAGCATCTCCATTGAAACATCAGAGGGTGTATTTAGTATATGCTAATAATAATAATTTGGTCACTCAATCCACGACTGTTTGTGGGACGCTGCTGTGCTCAATTGGCTGCCGCGTTTCACCCACAAAATACACAGTCAATATACTTTACAGACGCTTTGAAACGTCTCAACGACATGATAAGGTGCTATATTCACATTATCTCATGGGGACCCTGATGAGTGAAGCCTTGCTCCTAGCCCAGGGTGACAGTAGCTCTGCCCCAAACTAGGATAAACTCACTCAGTGCAGCCCACAGGATTGGATCCGGGGCCGTGCCGGTATATGTTGCTGTTTCGCTGAGCTTCATGACCGAATCCTTTCAATTGACTCTTCCTTTTCTCTTGTTTCTCGTCGCCAGACAGTTGTGCCTGCTATTGAACGCTGAGAACATTTTCCATTCCATGGCTGAGATCCTGCTGCGGGAAGAGGACCTGAAGTTTGCCTCCACCATGGTGCAAACACTCAACTCCATCCTGCTCACCTCCACCGAGCTCTTCCAGCTCCGCAACCAGCTGAAGGACCTGCGGACCACGGTGAGGAACAGGGCGCAGGGCAGGGGAGGAAAGGGAAGGGAGGGCAGAGGAGGGAGAGGAGAGGAGGGGGTTAGGGTAGAGGAGGAGAGGGCAGGGGCGTTAGGGAAAAGCAGGAGAAAGAGGGGAGGTCAGAAGAGGGAGGGGAGTGAGTGGAGGTTCAACGAGGCTAATGGAGGGAAGGTAGGGAAGAGCAGGGATGTTAGGGCATGTTAGGAGGATATGCAAGGCGGGGAGGGTAGGGCAGGGGGGTAGGGGAGGGCAGGGGAGAGACGGTATGGCAGTGGGGGTAGGAAGGGGAAGGCAGAGCCATTCCACACCTGCGACCACAGCAGCTGGGATGTGGGATCTGGCAAAGCCGGAGCAAACTCTTTAACTGTCAAGTGCCTTGGGACATTGTTCCAACGTGAAAGGCGGCATATAAATGTAATTTGTTGTTGTTGAGCACCTTAGTCATTCTCTTCACAGCCATTGGTGGCACATTGTAAACAAATCAGCTGCTGCAGACACTTACACCTACAAATACAGCCACAAAACATTACAACAACAACAAAATTACATTTATATAGCGCCTTTCACGTCGGGAGGACGTCCCAAGGACCTTGACAGTTAAAGAGACTCTATCCTACGTGAGAGACGCTATATAAATGTAAGTTGTTGTTGTTATATTAAATGCAAGGACTATTTCTATTTAACCATGATGATGGCTATCAATCCAGAATATTATATGATTTATATTTGGCCTAGTATCTGCAACTTTACTTTCTAATCTGGCAACAACAATAATTTGGACTTGCTCAGCAACCTCCATTTAGGAGAACGACTCAAAGCCCTTTACAGATAGTCTGGGCTGGGTGGGAGCGGAGGAGGCCAAAGACATAGAGAGAGATTTTCAGACGGTTTTTGCTGTATTATTAACCCTCAGGAATCCTGGAGCATTCTCCAGAGAAACCCGCCAACACTGCTGTGTAATTGCTGAGGTGTTGTTTTGCTGTAAGGGCAGATTGCTCTATTTCCACACAACCCTCCTTGCGTCAACGCCTCAGGGCGATCAGTGCTGCCTTTCATAATAATAATACTAATATTAATCCTAGTATTTGCTTTAGCGCCTTATCACTTCATGGAGACGTCTCAAAGCGCTTCACCGAATAAAACTGAAAAGTGGAATGACTGTGTATTTTGTGGGCAAACGAGGCAGCCAGTTGCGCACAACAGTGTCCCACAAACAGTCAAGGATTGAGTGACCAAGTTCTTTTTTAAAACACCGGCACAGACTAGTTGGACTGAATGGCTGTATTCTATGTAATGCTACGTGATCCAGTTTTCTCCCTCACTTGCTGAATGGTGATCATTCCTCTCAGACGATCTGCCATACCTGAGCTGTTCTACATAACAACAACAACAAGAAGATCACACTTGTATAGCCCTTTCACGTCGAGAGGACGCCCCAAGGCGCTGGACAGTGTGCAGCATTTCAGACCCGAGTTGGGATCAGGGGGGGAGAAGGGAGGGGAGGGGAACTGGGGTCTGTCAGGACAGCAGTGGTCCTGGAGTTGAGGATGGCGGCAGAAAGATAGAGTTGGGTGTCATCCCCATACATATGGAAGTTGACCCCATGTCTGCGGATGATATCACCAAGGGGGAGCATGGAGATATTAAAGATAACAATAATAATCTTTCCATGCAATACAACACCGATAACCTCAAGCATCTCAATGCCCCACAGGGAATTGCAGTCAAGTGTAGCTGCTGTATATTTGTTGGGGAACATGATGGGCAATTTGCAATGGGCAAGCTCCCTCCTCTTCACATTCTTCCATTCTTATTGTTTGAGCCTAGATGCAGGCTATTCAACTTCGGACACCACCCCCACCACCCCCCACACACACCAACACTCTCCACTGACAAGGGATTAGAGGTCATGAGATCAGGATCAAGACACCTGGCTAATTTTGTTCAGTTTCTTTCCACAACAACAACAACAAAATTATATTTGTATAGCGCCCTTCATGTCGGGAGGACATCCCAAGGAAAAGACGCAAAAGCCCACTGCAGAAGCCCATAATATTAGTTACCTCAGCACAGACCAGGGATGGAACCTGGTCTCTTTTCGGTCTTCTTGGGAAAGCGGAGGTTGCACTTTCAGTCAATGCAGCCCGAAACTCTGGAACACTCTCCCTCAATCCCTCCGCCTTGCCCCCTCTCTGTCATCAAGTTCTTGTTGTTGTTGTTGTTGTATGGCTCAGCAAAGCTAGGAGGGTGGGGCATAAAGGAGCCCTTGGGGATGTGTCTCCAATTTGTGGAGTTGAGTGATCTACTTCCATGACTTGCTTCGCAAGCGAGAGGACCTGGGTTCAATTCCCGGGCAGGGTGAAACCTGGGGCATGTTTCCTTACCCCACACACCTCTGCTTACCCTGCAGTAAATTGGAACCCGGTTGTTATTCAATTGGTGAATCGCTTTTCCAGGGAGTAATAATCCCTTCAAAAAAATAAATAATTTGATCACTAAATCCATGACTGTTTATGGGACACTGCTGTGCGCAGTTGGCTGCCCATAAGATATACAGCCATTACACTTTACAGTATATTCTGTGAAGCCCATTGAGACGTCTTGAAGTTGTGATAAGGTGCTCTATCAAATACAAGGATTAATACTGTTATTATTATTATTATGGTCACATTTTACAGCTAGGTATCTGTGACCCTGTGGAAGGTTATACATAGCTGTAATTGGTGGTTGATGTTTAACAAGTTATTTTTCTGAATTTGTTTTTCTCGGGTCTTCTCCGCAGGAAAGCTGCAGTCTCTTCTGCTGCTTGTACCGCTCCTGGTGCCATAACCCAGTGGCCACGGTCTCGCTGTGCTTCCTCACTCAAAACTACAAGCACGCCTACGATCTCATTCAGAAATTGTATCCTTTTTGCTTAAACGGGCAGTGCCTCTGTTTAAACAGAGGACAGCAGTGCTGGGTGCAAATTGCCTTTTCAGGTACGTCTCGTGCACTTTGGATGCTATGTGTAACTTCAATACCACCTACATAATGCAATAGGGATTACAGTATGACAACAGATGTGATGTTATGGCCTTGTTCTTTTTTATTGTGTAAACCAAGTGTAGGACAGACTGAGGGCAGGGAATCCTCCCATTCAGCTCTTGTTAACCCTGCAAGTCAAAGCCCTGGCAGGTAGGGTGATCCTAGCTGGAAAAGCAACAGGAACGCTTGCCAGACAGTGATATGTGGTTTTAGCTGGTCAGACTCCAGCAGTTACCCCAACGCACACTCTGGGGTCCCCAATCCTTGGCTCTTGCCAACCTGCGCCTAATACTTTCCGGAATTAGGTAAGCAGGATGTGTCCCTCTAGGGAGAGAGAGAGAGCACCTTTCATTCCAACAACCTATCTCTGGGATTTCCATGTTAGGTGGAATGCATGGAATTCTCAGCAAGGTTTGGAGACTCTTGAGCATAGTGATGGGTTTCCGCATGTGTCAGACACCCAGCTGACCTCCCCAAAAAGTGTAGGAACAGTACCAAGACTGAGAATAGGAGAGAAGACTACAGGAATCGAGAAGCAGAGGTTAGTTGGTATAGTATTAAAAGCTGGAGATTGTAGAAAGAAGAGAAGACTGAGGCAGGTGAATTCCGCTGCCTTAAATTCCTGGGAATGATTGCGTTGGGAATAGAGGATGGTTTGGGGATTTCTGATCTCAACACAGCAAGAATGCAGTGAGGAGGACCAGTATTTGACGTTTGGGCAGGTGTGAGAGAGAAAGGTTAAGTGGAGAAATTGACATAGCAAAATTGATAGTCAAGGGACAGTTCCAAAGAGAGCCTTTGGAGCTAAGGGCTGGAGTGTTTGGAATCTGGGAGGGAAGGAAAAGACTAGTGCATGTTTCTCAATGAATCGATCATTCCAGGAAGTAACTGAGATGTGCAATGGATTATTGTCTCCTGTAGCTGCAGTACAAATCTATCAGTGAGCACCACAGCCCAATGTCAGGCGTAGGCCAGGGGTATCAGGGCAGCAGGGAATCAAAGCTTGTTATCTGAACACTCACATCCATTTAAACAGCAGCACATGGCACACAGTAAGGCAGCTATAAATCCTGCCAGCAGCTCATCAATAGGAGGCCAGCCTTAAAACTGAGGCTGATATGTCAGTTTCATTAATTTTAGTTTAAAGTTGGATAGGTACCGTGTGTGTGTGTGTGTGTGTGTGTTTATGTGTGTGTTTGTGTCTGTGTGTGTGTTTGTCTTGTGTGTTTGTGTCTGTGTGTGCATGCGTATGAGTGCATCAGTGTGTGATTACAAAAGTCCACAAGAATTTGTGCTTATACAGCAACTTTCACTTTGGGCAAAATGTCTCAAAGCGCTTTACACCAAGACTGAGTGGGAGCTTGAGGTAAGGGGAGGGCCAAAGGTGCAATCAAAGAGATTTTTTGATGAGTTTTGAAAGAAACATCAAAGACCCACAAAAGGACCTTCTAGTTCACAGTGCAGGCTGAGACTCGCACACAGTGCTGGGGGACCGCCACATTGTTGAAGGTGCCATCCTTCAGAGGAGATGTTAACCCAAGATCTTATCTGTGCCTGCTCAGAACGATGTTAAAAATCCTAGGGCTTTATTTGAACAGAGAATGGAGTTTCCGATACAGTTTACATTTATTACAGAACCTTTCACGTCGGGAGGTCATCCTACAGCACGGTTTCTCTCGGTGTCCTCACAAACAGTCCTCCGAATATGTTGGTCATTTACTTAATGGCTGTTTGTGAGACATCGCTGTGTGCAAATTGGTTGCCTTGAGCAGTGGGAGAAATACAGTAAAATGTATCTCTGCGATGGTTTGAGTAATAGCCTTTCTTACACCAGAATGGGAATGGTTTGAAGCAGACAGTAGAGTGATAGAAACCAGAGTGCATGTTATACGTAGCTTACGTTAAGTAAAAGCCTGTGTGTTGCCGGTGTGGTGATTATTGTTCTGTGATGTCCGATCCTATGTGGAGAACCTTTATTCTTTTTTTGTTAAAAAGAAATGCTTCTGTTTGAACAAACGACGTGTTACACTGCAAACAGTCCCGTCTACTGTCGGGCTGACACACTGCAGAGTGTACACTTCCCAGCTCTCATTGAAGGCCAGAGACCAGACCACAATTGGCAAAAGAATGTGTGGTGGATTCCTCAGCGAGCCAGATAGAAAAAACATCAGCACCAGCAGCTGCTCAGTGTATTTTATCCTCTCCATTTATAGCCAAAAGCTCGGTGTGAAACTCCTGCCACTTCATTCACTCGGCCTGTGATTACAGGAGTAAGCTACGGTCAATCCACGACTGTTTGTGGGATGCTGCTGTGAGCAATGTGAGCAATTGGCTGCCGCGTTTCACTCACAAAACATATAGTCAATTCACTTTACAGTATTTTCTGTGAAACGCTTTGAGACATCTTGAAGCTGTGATCAGGGGCTATATCAAATGCAAGGATTATTATTATTAGCTGCACTGCCTGTAAGACAGAGCCTTAGATTGCTTTCCGCACCTTGCATTGCATCCACCCAGATTCCTAATTATGGAATTAATATCCCATATTTGCAATGAGATGTTTTTATAGCAAACTATATCTCACATTGTTAAAGACAGGTTGTTGTGAAGTGCCTCTCATGGTATTTTAATGGCCGCACTAAAGCTTAATCCAAGCAGTTAGATCAGAGTGTGACAAGTGGAAAAATCCAGCGCGCCAAGCGATACAGTGCAAATACAGCCTGGAATGTGCTCACCAGCCTCCGCGGGCTCCGGCAGTAAAAACACAGACTTGGTGAGCTTTGTCAGGGTTACTCTTGAGTGCTTGCTTCTTCAACAGGCTTCAGAAGTGCTCAGTGTAAAGAGCGTCCCATGTTATATAATCCATATTTGCTTGAGAAGTGTTATTCTGTCGGGTTTTAGAGGAGTGCAGCACGGCACAGGATCAGAATAGAGCATTTGCGGTCTCTTATCCCAGAGTTCTAAACACAACGTGCACGCACTATTTACCACTCAATTTTACCCAGTGTCTAACTGAAGTTTCTAACTTGCTGCAATCCATAGAGAGGATTTGTAAAGCATGTACAGAATCTAACGTCTGAATCTCTGGAACTCGGGCCCAGATCTCAGTTTCAACTTCCACAAAGTCGGCATCTGATCAGAATTCCAAAGGGTTGCTCCCAACAGGAATTGCTGTAGAACCGTAGAAATTTACAAGCAAAGAAATAGGCCACTCAGCCTGTTATGTCTGTATTAAAGAGTTACCCTTTCAGACCCATTGACCTGCTCTTTCCCCATAACCCTGTAATTTACTCCTTTTCAATTATTTATCTTGTCCCTGTGAAACCTGATAGAGATTCTGCCTTAACCACTGCTCCAAGCAGAGCATTCTATATACTAACCAATCTGTGGAAACATTTCTCGTAACCTCTCCATTTGTTTGTTTATTAGCTATGTTAAATTGATGCCCTCTCGTTACTGACTCACCAAACAGTGGAAATAATGTCTTTATATTGACTCTATTAAAACCCCTTATAGACCTCGATTATGTCACCCCTTATCCTTCCTTGTTCCAGGAGAAACACATCCCAGCTCCTCCAGTCCCTGCTTATAGACCAAACAACTCTATTGCGTTGATGTATTTTCTACATTGGGATGACCAATATTAGACACAGTAGTTACTATTTCCTGCAATTCAGGTTTCTCTCTCCACTGACTAGGTATTTGTGTGACAATCTGACACAGTCGGTAGCACTCTCCCCTCTGCGTCGGAAGGTTGTTTATTAGCTATGTTAAATTGATGCCCTCTCGTTACTGACTCACCAAACAGTGGAAATGATGTCTCTATGTTGACTCCATTAAAACCCCTTATAGACCAGAGGATCGAATTCAAGATCCTCATCCTCACCTACAAGGCATTCACGGCCTCGCTCCCTCCTATCTCTCTGACCTACTATCCCCCTACCTACCTGCCCGTACACTCCGTTCCTCTGGCTCCGGTCTGCTCCACATCCCCCGCCCCAACCGCCCTACCATCGGTGGCCTTCAGCCTCTCAGCCCCGAGGCTCTGGAACTCTATCCCCAGTGCCTTCGCCGCCTCCTCCCTCTCCTCCTTCAAGGCCGGTCACAAGACCTTTCTCTTCGACCGTACCTTCAGCTCCCCTCTCGACTCTCTACCCCCTCCTCGCTCCCTCCCTTCCCTCCCCTCCCCCTGACCATTTCCCCCCTGATCGGGTCCTAACCCAACTGTCCAGCGCCTTGGGACGTCCTCCCGACGTGAAAGGCGCTCTATAAATGAAATCTTTTTGTTGTTGTTGTTGTGAGTTCAAGACGCACACCAGGATTTGGGACTCCTTTGGTCTGGGCTGATACTCCACCGCCGTACTGGTGGGCGGTGGGGAGCCTGCATTGTCACGAAGAAGTGCCTCATAACATGAAAGGCGCTGTGTAAATGTAAACTGTATTGTATCAGGGAATAAACTCCACGTTTCTAGCAGTAAGAGTGAAACAAACAATAACTAGAGTCTTGGCCCTCTCTCTGTCTCTTTCTCTCTGTCTCTCTGTCTCTCTCTACGTGTATATATATATATAAAAAATAATCATTCAGCTGAGAGGCAGTGGAGCGGAAACCAAAGCAATTGTGCCTAATGAAGAGTTTGCGGAATGTCTGAATGAGGAGATTAATAACACAAAGTGCAATTATGGAAAATTAATGAGCAATATTTACTGGGTTGGCTGCAATCTGAGCCCTGGTTAATTGCGTGTACCGATTAATGAACGTTTGACAGAACACACTGAGGCAGGGATCTGCACCGCTCACGTTAAGCGGGTGTTTGTGATGGTCTGGACCGTGATCTAGGCGTGAGTTACGTGGTTAAAAACACAGCAGTGACAGTGCA